GCCTCCGGCCCGCCTCGGCACCACAGTGGGGTCGAGGAGACGCAGTTTGGTAACGTAATGTGGCTTTGCACGTCGAGCGTAGACACGACCACACCGCAGAGCAAAACAAAACACTCTAGAGCTTCTAGAATACGGTATCGAATGCTGCTCGTCCAATAATAGTTTATGAAGAAAATACAAACAAGGGGAAAGGTATATTAAAACCCATTAAGGAGGGTGTGATTCCGCCACATTTCCCAAGACCTACGACAGAGCTGGTCGCAACACTTCGTGTACAATGCAAAAATGCACTTGTTTTAATTTTATACCGCTCGTTCTCGTTGACCGTCACAAAGCGAAGGGTGGGAGGGGTGCTTGTGCAGGTGGTACTTGTCTAGCCATCAGTAGAGACGAGCGTCATTCTGAATCCACGTTACACTAGTCGTCACATCAATCCTTCGCTCTGCCACTGAGTAAATTGAGTGGTCACAGCGAGCGAGAGCACTTCAATTTTCTTACTAATTGCAAAAGTAGACCCCCACCAGAGCACTTTGTTGTACGATGAAATAAAAGAAATATTCTTGTGGGGCAAGATAGAGGACTGGAAATTTTTTGGGTGGCGCGGATGAATGTTTTCTCAGGTTGCAAGAAGGTATTCCAGACATTTCCGCCCGCCTCAATTTCGCTCACAGCGGGGGGGCGCTTGCGCGCCGCTCCGCCGCTCGCCCCTCCTTCGCTCGGCTCCGCCCGGCTCCCTGACCCCGAGGCATGCGAAGAACTTCATCATAAGCCGTGGCGCACCTCGTCGACCTCGACCCACTATAGAGAGCACCCCGCAGGGCCGCGTCGGGAGCGAGCAGGCGGCCGCAGCCGGAGAGCAAGTATCGTTATCCTCTAATTTGCGCGCAAGAGCAGGGCGCGGCCGGGTATCGGTATCGAAAAGAAAATACTCTTGGCTCTGCTCTTCGCCCCCACCTCGCCCCGCCCGCCCCAGCCCGCGTGGCCTCGGCCCTGGGCCTCAGCGAGCTCTCACGCCCCCGTCGACTGTGCCATTTTAACAAAGTCGCCGTCTCTCTTGTTACAGAGGGTGCTGATGCTGTAGCTCGCCATGACCGCTAGGATGCTGGCCGTCTTCGACGTGATGGGCGACATATCGCCCGTCTCGGCGCCCACCTCGCCCACGACGGCCGAACCGCCCAATGGCGCGCCGGCCCGGAAGAACAGTGGGCTCAACAACGGCCACACCAACGGCAACGCCAATGGCCATGTCAACGGTCATGCCAACGGCCACGTCAACGGAAACGCCAACGGCCACGTCAACGGAAACGTCAACGGTCACGTTAACGGTCACGCTAACGGTCACGCCAATGGTCACGCCAACGGGACGACGAGCCCGACGAAAGTCAACGGGGTGGTGACTCCGGCGAAAGTCAACGGTACCCCGGTCAAGAAGGGGAGCCTCACCGACAACCCCATCGCGCTCAACAACTACCACAACAACCAACTCAACCACCTCAACAACAACAACAATAACAACAACAACAACATCATTGCCTCCCCGCTCAAGCCCAAGTCGCACATGCTGACCAAGCAGCAGACACAGTCCGTGTTCCCCAGGAGGGCAGCGGCCAACCTCCAATTCACTGACAT